GGCAAAGTCAATTGAAAACCTTTTGGAAAGGATTCACCATTCTAGATGCCATTAAGAACATCTGTGATTCATGGGAAAGACATTAAAATATCAACATTAACAGGAGTGTGGAAGAATTTGATTCCAACCCTCACGGATGACTTTGAGGGGCTCAAGACTTCAGTAGAGGAAGTAACTGCAGATGTGGTGGAAATTGTTAGAGAACTAGAATTAGAAGTAGAGGCTGAAGATGTGACTTAATTGCTGCAATCTCATAGTAAAACGTCAATGAATGAGGAGTTGCTTCTTATGGATGAGCAAAGAAAGTGGTTTCTTGAGATGGAATCTACTCCTGGTGAAGAGGCTGTGAAGACTACTGAAATGACAACAAAGGATTTAGGATATTACATAAACTTAGTTGATAAAGAGCAGCAGCACGGTTTGAGAGGATTGAGTCCAATTTTGAAAGAAGTTCTACTGTGGGTAAAATGCTATCAAACAGCATCGCATGCTACAGAGAAATCGCACATGAAAGGAAGTCAATCAATGCTACAAACTTCGCTGTTGTCTTATATTAAGAAATTGCCACAGCCACCCCAACCTCTAGCAACCACCACCCTGATCAGTTAGCTGCCACCAACATTGAGGCAAGACCTTCCACCAGCAAAAAGATTATGACTCTCTGAAGGCTCAGATAATAGTTAGCACTTTTTAACAATAAAGTGATTTTTTTATTGATGTTTTAATAGTTTATAACATTGTGAAATTTTGGGTTGTACATTTTTGTTTGTCCCTCACCATACATATGTCTCCCTTCACCCCCTGTGACCACCCCCTACCCTCATTGCCCCTGGTAACCACAATACAGTTTTCTCTGTCCATGTGTTGGTTTATATTCCACATAAGAGTGAGATCATACGGTGTTTGTCTTTCTCTTTCTGGCTTATTTCGCTTAACATAATACCCTCCAGGCCCATCCATGTTGTTGCAAATGGGACGATTTTGCCTTTTTTATGGCTGAGTAGTATTCCATTATATATACACCACATTTTCTTGATCCAATCATCAGTCGAGGGGTTGCTTTCCATTTAGGTTGCTTCCACTTCTTGGCTATAGTGAATAATGCCAACACGATTTATTGAAGAGACCTTTCTGTCTCCATTGTATGTTCTTAGCTTCTTTGTTGAAAATTAGCTGTCCGTATATGTGTGGTTTTATTTCTGGACTTTCAATTCTGTTCCATTGATCTGTGTGTCTGTTTTTGTACCAGTACCATGCTGCTTTGATTACTATTGCTTTGTAATACATTTTGAAGTCAGGGATTGTGATGCCTCCAGCTTTGTTCTTTTTCCTCAGGATTGCTTTAGCTATTCGGGGTCTTTTGTTGCCCCATATGAATTTTAGTATTCTTTTTTCTATTTCTGTGAAGAATGTCTTTGGGATTCTGATTGGGATTACATTGAATCTGTAGATTGCTTTAGGTAATATAGACATTTTAACTACGTTTATTCTTCCAATCCATGTGCATGGGATGTCCTTCCATTTCTTTATGTCATCATCGATTTCTTTCAATAATGTCTTGTAGTTTTCATTGTATAGGTCTTTCGCCTCCTTGGTAAGATTTATTCCTAGATATTTTATTCTTTTTGATGCAATTGTAAATGGTATTATCTTTTTGGGCTCTCTTTCTGTTAGTTCGTTATTAGCATACAGAAATACAACTGATTTTTGTAGATTGATTTTGTACCCTGCAACTTTGCTGTAGTTGTTGATTATTTCTAATAGTTTTCCAATGGATTCTTTAGGGTTTTCTATATATAAAATCATGTCATCTGCAAATAGTGAGAGTTTCACTTCTTCGTTGCCTATTTGGATTCCTTTTTCTTGCCTAATTGCTCTGGCCAAAAGCTCCAGTACTATGTTGAATAGGAGTGGTGAGAGTGGGCAGCTCTGCCTTGTTCCTGTTCTCAGAGGAATGGCTTTCAGCCTTTCCCCGGTGAGTATGATGTTGGCTGTGGGCTTGTCATAAATAGCCTTTATTATGTTGAAGTACTTTTCTTCTATACCCATTTTGTTGAGAGTTTTTATCATAAATGGATGTTGTATCTTGTCAAATGCCTTCTCTGAATCTATTGAGATGGCCATGTGGTTTTTATTCTTTGCTTTGTTGATGTGGTGTATCACGGTGATTGATTTCCGGATGTTGAACCATCCCTGCATCCCTGGTATAAATCCCACTTGATCATAGTGTATGATCTAACAATAAAGTGTTTTTTAATTAAGGTATGTACATTGTTGTTTTTAGACATAACACAATTGCACACTTAATAGACTACGGTATAGTGTAAACATAACTTTTATATGCACTGAGAAACCAAAAAATTCATGTGGCTCACTTTATTGAGATATTCACTTTATTGCAGTGGTCTGGAACTGAACCTACAATATCTCCGAGGTATGCCTGTCTTTAGAGGAAAATTTATAGCATTGAATACATATCTTAGAAAAAAAAATCTAAAAGAGATAGTCTAAGCTTCCAGTTTAGAAAACTAGAAATAGAAGAGCAAATAAAATCTGAAATAAGGAGGAGGAATAAAAATTAGAGCAGAAGTCAATGAAATTGAAAACCAAAAATTGATAGAGAAAAGCAACAAAACCACGAGCTGGCTCTTTGACAAGAAAAGATCAACAAAACTGATAAGCCTCTGCCACATTAGGTAAGAAACTGTATTTCTATCAGGTCCCCTGGCATTTCTAATAGCGTTGTTTTGTGCAAGTAAATGCTGCTATTTGGTGCAAAAATTTTAATTTTTTATTGAGGATTATACTATTATTCATTATGCCAAATATGACTTTTCACATTTACTATGCATGCATTTAAATCTACTTAGCCCCAAATTATTTTTGTCTGTTTGCTTTTTGTGATATTTGACTGTTAAACCTCTATACATTCTCTTATTTTTTCCACTTTTCTGTGTAACTTTGGTTTGGATGAGATTCTTGTCCAGAACATCTAGTTATATTTTGTTTTTAACTCAATTTGAAGGCTTTAAAGCTTAAACGATTCGCATCTCATGCCATAACTAGCGTTGGTTTTGACAGCTGTCTGTGTTCTTTTATATCCTCAGTACACTGCCTCATGATCAGTAGAAGACAGTAATTTTAATGTTAAACCATCAGAATGTTTGGTAGATATTTGGAGCTCATCTTTCCTTGACCTGATATTCTATAATGTGCCAATAGTTGAATATGATAAGGAGAGTATCAACGTGAAGCTATGGGGAAGCATATTTTTAGCCTATTACCTCTCTTCTCTGTTAGTGTTCATGTTATACTTGTCTAACCAGCTTCACTTAGGAAAACAATAACAATCACTAACATCTGCATAACTGCCATCAATCACCAAACTCTTTCAGCTGAATTTTTCAACCAGAAAATAGAAAGTTCATGATTTAGTCAGAAAAGTGCCACTGCAATTTTTGTATGATACTCACAAAGGACTTCGATACACCTAACAAAAAAGTGTTCTCAAATCAACTCCCCCTCCTGACCCTGGATATTTTCCAACATTCAACCCTAGCTCTTGGTGTTCTCATACCTCCCCTGTCTCTACGCCTCCCTCCCTAACTCTCTTTCTTTCTCATGTTTTCTCATCCCTCTCCTCCTTATAGAGGAAATCCATTCCCACAACTCTAATTTTATTGAATTTCCAGATAATCATATTCATTCATGTTCTCACTTCCAAATATTAGTGCTGCATTTTTAGTCCTTAGATAATTCCATTTAGAATTAAATATTACCAAAACCAGCTATATCCTGCCCCATGTTGCCAGTATTCTCAGACTAGATTACTAGTTCTCCTGTCTTTATAATATCTATGGAGTTCCCATTTCCCATTCCTTCATCATTACCTTTATTCTGCTTCAGAGACCTCCATTACTTAACACTTATATCACTGCAGCAGTCTCTTAAATTCTCTTTTCCTACCTCTCCTGGCCTAAAAGTTGCTACCAACAAACCCCGAAAAGGTGCAATCATCATATGTCATTTCCTTACGTCAGGACCTACAATTCTGGTAAGTAGGTGGACCAAGCAAACACGAGCTAAACTTTCGAGAAACTAAATTAACAGGCCCACTTCTCCATTTTTTGCATCCAGTTTCTATGCACCATGAATTGCTGGTTCTTCCCAGTCACCATATCTTCATGTACTTCACTCACCACTACTTTATTTTTTCTCACATTGGTCTCCCTTTCTGAAATGTCACATTCCCATCAATTCCAATCTTATATTTCCTTCAAATGCATTTTTTTCCCCATGAATCTTTCCAAACCCAGGGAGATCATATCTTAGAAGTGGAGCTAAATGAGCCTTAGAATAAAGGCTAAAACATTGAAGAAAAAAAACAATAACAGATGGAAGCATGGATCTACATAAAGGAATGGAGAGTGCTAAAAGTAGTAAATATGTAGCATTTTTAGTCACATTAAAATATAATTCTCTAAAGCAAAACGTATTTACCACGTATTGTGATGTTCATAACATGTGAAAGTAAAATGTACGAAAATGATAGCATAAAGAATGGAAGGGGTAATAAAAATATGCTGTTGAATGTGACATGGTTATAATATTAATTGATGGTAGACTGTAATAAGTTAAACGTGTATATGGGAAACTCTAGAAACAACCTCAAGACAATATAACAAAGATGTATAGCTAATAAGACACTAGTTGAGATTAAAAAAATCATAAAAATATTCAATAAATCTAAAAGAGAGCAGACAAAGAAAGGAACAGATAAAAATAGAAATAAAAAACAAATCACAAGATGGTAGATTTAAATATAGCTATGTCAGTAATTTCATTAAATGAAAATGGGCTACACATTCCAATAAAGTCATATGTTATCTAATGAATAAGAAAAAAGTGGCCCAAGTCGTCTTCCTCCTCCTGCTGTGGGGCAAGATCCCCTGACGGTGTCCAGCTGTGCTTAAGTCTGGCCAGTGCCACCTGTCTCCACAATGACCCCCAAGAAATAAGCTCAGGCTTGGGGCAGCAAAAGGTGGAGTAGAAAAAGAAAGAGATTATCCAAGACAGAACTTTTGGTCTAAAGGATAAGAAAGGAGCAAAGCAACAGAAGTTTACCAAGGCTGTTACTCATCAAGTTCAATTTGGTCAACAAAATCCACATTAGGTAGTGTCAAGTGAAGCTGAAAAGAAACTGAACAAAGGTAACAAGAAGAAAGAATTACAATAGCTAAATGAGCTGCTCAAACCTGTAGTTGCTGCTCAAAAAATAAGTAACGGTGCAGATCCCAATTCCACAGTACATGCATTCTTCAAGCAAGGACAGGGCACTAATGGAAGTAAATGTAAGTTCCCTCATGACTTGACTCTGGGGAGAAAATGCGATTCAAGAGGTAAAGAACTAGAAAAAGATTCTCTGGATACCTGGGATGAGAAAAAACTGAAAGAAGTAGTGAACAAGAAGCATGGTGAGGTGGAAAACAAAAACCCAACACTCAAGTAGTGTGCAAACACTTCCTTGAAGCTACTGAAGGCAAACAAATACGGCTAACTCTGGGTACGCCCTGGAGGGCGTGATATCTGCATGTATCATCATGCACTCTCCCCCAGATTTGCGTTGAAAAAAAGATAAAAATAAAGACGAGAAGAAGAAGAAATTTCATTAGGAGAATTTAATTGAAACAGAGTGTGCTACCCTAGATCCAACTGCTAACAAAGTCACTCTAGGATCTTTTCTTGCAAGAAAAGGAAGAAAAGGAAAAGACAAGAAAAGATTGATCAACTTGAGCAAGATATGGAAAGAAAAGCATACTTCAAAGCAGGGAAAGCACTAACCACCAGTGGTCCTGAGGCGTCTGCATTTCTTCTGAATGGGTGGACGATAACGAGGAGGAAGCAGAGGGCACCTGTGACACCCGGGAAACAGGTGGAGATGAGGCCGATGACTCAGTGAGTGTACAGGACGGAGACTTAAGCGTGTACATCCCAAGAGACGTAGATGAGACAGGTATTACTGGAGCCAGTCTTGAAAGATTTCAGCACATACACTTCAGAGAAAGATGAAAACAAATTAAGCAAAGCTTCCAGAGGCAGGGCTGAAAATAGTGAAAGAAGTGATCTGGAAGAGGACAGCGAAGGGAAGGGACAGAAAAATGGAGCCATCAATGCTGTTCCTATCAATGAAAATCTTTTTACTGGGAAAGATTTGGATGGATTAGAAGAAGAATTATACACACTTGATTTAGAAGAATGACACCAGACAAATCATCGAAAAAATTAAGCCAGCTCAGCATGGGTTGAAATTGACTACAGTGGTTCTTCCACCTAGAATTCAACACGATGTTTATTTCTCATGCTGATTCTGGAATGCTTACCTTCCTCCAAAAACCGAATATTCTCCCTAAATCTTGTCTTCTGACTTTGGCTACATCTCATAGTAAGTTCAGAATAGTTCATGATAAATTGAAAATATAATGGTCATTGAAGAAAATGACTGACTGCTGTAACTGTCCACTCAAGTAGCAAGTATAACTGCTTTTCTAGCTTTTGATTTTTATTAGGCATGTGTTATTACAAAGACAACATAAATTTAAATTTAAAATACCCTTCATTTAATGCAGTTTTTAATGAGTGATTTCATTTCCTTTGTACTTACATGTTTAAAAGACTGCCTAAAATATGAGCACTGAATTTCACAAAGCAAACTGCATATGCAGATTCAGTATTTGTATATCTTTGGACAATTAGATGGCAATTCAAAATGCAACTTCTTTACTATGACAGGATCAGCTGCAATGTCTTGTGTTTTAAACTTTTCCCTCTTCTTTTTTGCCAATAAAGTTGTAAATAAAGACCATCATACATTAAAATCCATACCCCCAAAAATACAAGACTCAACTACATGATGTCTAAAAGAAAATCCACTTAAATATAATGACATAGGTTAAAAGTAAAATGATGAGAAAACACATATACAAAATCAAAAGAAAGCGAGAGTACTTCTGTTAATATCAGACAAAGTAGATTTCAAAACAAAGATTAATGCTATGGATATCAGAGGAATACTTCATAATGATAAAGGGGTAAATTCACCAAGAAGACATAATGATCATAAATGTGTATGCAGCTAACAACGAAGCTTCAAAATACATGAAACAAAACTAAAAAAAGAAATTAAAAAATTCACAATTATAGCTGAAGATTTCACCAATCCTTTTTCAGTAACTGATGAGCAAGTAGACAGAAAATCTACTTGGAAAAAAACACAAGCGACATGAAGTACACTATCAACCATCTTGACCTAATGGATACTAGTAGGACACTTTATGCAATAAAACCACAACACACCTTCCTTTCAAGTGTATATAGAACATACACCAAGATAAATCATTTTCTGGGCCATGAAACAAATCTCAACAAATTTAAAAGGATTAATATCATATAAAGTATGTTTTCCAGCCACAAGAGAATTAATTTAGGAATCAATAACAGAAAGATATATGAAAAATCCATATATTTAGAAACTGAACAACACGCTTCTAAATAATCCCTGAGTTAAGAAGGAATCATAAGGGGAGTTAAAATATTTTGAAATGAAAATTTGCAAAGCATGGCTAACAGTCCTTAGACAGAAACACAGCATTAAGTGCTTATGTTAGAAAAAGAGAAAGGTCTCAAACCAATAATCTTAGCTTCCTCCTAAAGAAAGTATAGAAAGAAGATCAACATAAATTCAAAAGAAGCAGAATAGAGAAATAATAAAGAGCAGATAAAGAATTTGAACACAGAAAAACAATACAGAAAGTCAAGGAAAACAATAGGTGGTTCTTTGAAAAAGTTAATAACATTGATAATCTCTAGCCAGATAAATCAAGAAAAAAAGAGAGAAGACACAAATTACCAATATCAGGAATAAAAGGGAAGTCATCATTACATATACAACAAATACTATAAAGATAATAAGGGAATATTACAAACATTTTTAAGCCAATAAATTAGAAAACTTAGATGACAAATTCTTTGAAAGCTATAAAATACCAAAACTCATTCAAGAAGAAACAGATGAACAGAATAGTCCCATAACTATTAAAGAAATTGAGTTCATGGTTAAAAATCTCCCAACAAAGACAAAACTCCAGGCCAAAGTGGCTTCACTGGGAAATTGCACCAAAGATTTAAAGAACAGGTAATACAAATTCTACACAAACAATGCCATACAATTGAAGAGGAGGGAGTGCTTCCCACCTTGTTTGTAAAAGGTAAACATGTTTCAAATTCACATGGAACATTCTCCAGGACAGATCACATATGAGGCCACAAAACAATCTCAATAAATTTAAGAAGGCTGAAATAATACCAAGCATCTTTTCTGACCACAACAGTATGAAACTAGAAATCAACTACAGGAAGAAAATCAGAAAAGCCAGAAATATGTGGAGATTAAACAAAATGCTACTGAACAACGATTGGATCAATGAAGAAATCAAAGGGGAAATCAAAAACTACCTGGAGACAAATGAAAATGAAAATTCGACATGCCAAAATTTATGGGATACAGCGGAAACAGTTCTAAGAGGGAAGTTTATAGCAATACAGGCCTACCTCAACAAACAATAAAAATCTCAAATAAACCATCTAACAGTGCATCTGTAGGAACTGGAAAAAGAAGAACAACGCCCAAAATCAGAAGAAGGAAGGAAAAAATAAAAATCAGAGCAGAAATAAATGAAAAAGAGACTAAAAAAACAACAGAAAAAATCAATGAAACTAAGAGCTGGTTCTTCAAAAAGATAAACAAAATTGACAAACCTTTAGCTAGACTCACCAAGAAAAAAAGAGAGAAGGATGGAATAAATAAAACCAGAAATGAAAGAGGAGAAATTATAATGGACACCTCAGAAATATGAAAGATTATAAGAGAATACTACAAAAAGCTATACACCAACAAATTGGAAAATCTAGAAGAAATGGATAAATTCTTAGAATCATACAACCTTCCAAAACTGAATCAAGAAGAAATAGAGAATTCGAATAGACCAATCACCAGTAAGGAGATCGAAACAGTAATTAAAAACCTCCCCAAAAATAAAAGTCCAGGATCAGACGGCTTCCCTGGTCAATTCTACCAAACACTCAAAGAAGACTTAATACCTATGCTTCTCAAACTCTTCCAAAGAATTGAGGAGGGGGGGAAGCTTCCTACCTCATTGTATGAAGCCAACATTATTACCCTGATACCAAAACCAGACAAGGACCACAGAAAAAAAGAAAATTACAGGCCAATATCAGTGATATACATCGATGCAAAAATCCTCAACAAAATTAGCAAATCAAATACTATAATACATTAAAAAGATCGTATACCATGATCAAGTGGGATTTATCCCAGGGATGCAGGGATGGTTCAAATCCACAAAACAATCAATATAATACACCACATTAACAAAATGAAGACTAAAAATCACATGACCATCTCAATAGATGCAGAGAAAGCATTTGACAAGCTACAGCATCCATTTATGATAAAAACTCCGAATAAAATGGGTATAGAAGGACAGTACCTCAGCATAATAAAGGCCATATATGACAAACCCACAGCTAATATCATTCTCAATGGAGAAAAACTGAAAGCTATCCCTCTAAGAACAGGAACCAGACAAGGATGCTCACTTTCACCACTCTTATTTAACACAGTATTGGAAGTCCTAGCCAGAGCAAGTGGGCCACAAAAAGAAATAAAAGGGATCCAAATTGGAAAGGAAGAAGTGAAACTGTCACTATTCGCAAAGTGGTTTTATATATAGAAAACCCTAAAGAATCCACCAAAAAACTTTCAGAAATAATAAATGAATACGGTAAAGTTGTAGGATACAAAATCAACATACAAAAATCAGTTGTGTTTCTATACACTAACAACAAAGTAGCAGAAAGAGAAATAAAGAGTACAGTCCCATTTACAACTACAAAAAAAAGGAATAAAATACCTAGGAGTAAACTTAACCAAAGAGGTGAAAGATCTGTACACTGAAAACTATAGAACATTGTGAAAGAGACAGAAAACACAAAGAAATGGAAAGATATTCTGTGCTCTTGGATTGGAAGAATTATCATAGTTAAAATGTCCATATTTCCTAAAGCAATCTACAGATTGACGGCAATCCCTATCAAAGTTCCAACAACCTTTTTCACAGAAATAGAACAAAGAATCCTAAAATTTATATGGAACAACAAAAGACCCCGAATAGCCAAAGGAATCCTGAGAAAAAAGAACAAAGCTGAGGGTATCACACTCCCTGATTTCAAAATATACTACAAAGCTATAGTAACCAAAACAACACAGTACTGGCACAAAAACAGACACAAATATCAATGGAAAAGAATTGAGAGGCCAGAAATAAATCCACACATCTACGGACAGCTAATTTTTGACAAGGGAGCCAAGAACATACAATGGAGAAAAGAAAGTCTCTTCAATAAATGGTGCTGGGAAAACTGGATAGCCACATGCAAAAGAATGAAAGTAGACCCTTACCTTACACCATACACAAAAATTAACTCAAAATGGATTAAAGACTTGAATGTAAGACCTGAAACCATAAAACTTCTAGAAGAAAACATAGGCAGTACGCTCTTCAACATCGGTCTTAGTAGCATATTTTCAAGTACCATGTCTGCCCAGGCAAGGGAAACAACAGAAAAAATAAACAAATGGGACTACATCAAACTAAGAACTTCTTAGTTCTTAGCAAAGGAAACCATCAACAAAACAAAAAAACAACCTAACAATTGGGAGAAGATATTTGCAAACCATATATCTGATAAGGGGTTAATCTCTAAAATATATAAAGAACTCTTACATCTCAACAACAAAAACACTAACAACCCAATTAAAATTGGGCAAAAGATCTGAACAGACATTTCTCCAAAGAAGATATACAGATGGCCAACAGGCACATGAAAAGATGTTCAACATCATTAACTATCAGGGAAATGCAAATCAAAACTACAATGAGATATCACCTCATGCCTGTCGAATGCCTATAATTAACAAGACAGGAAACAAGTGTTGGACAGATGTGGTGAGAAGGGAACTCTCATACACTGCTGGTGGGAGTGCAACATAGTGCAGTCACTATGGAAAACAGTATGGAGATTCCTCAAAAAATTAAGAAGAGAACTACCATATGATCCAGCTATTCCACTGCTGGGTATTTATCCAAAGATAATGAAAACAGGAGTGCATAAAGATACACGCACTCCTATGTTCATTGCAGCATTATTCACAATAGCCAAGACTTGGAAGCAACCTAGGTGCCCAGCAAGGGACGAATGGATAAAGAAGATGTGGTACATATACACAATGGAATACTTACTCAGTCATAAAAAACGATGAAATCTGGCCATTTGTGACAACATGGATGGACCTTGAGGGTATTATGCTAAGTGAAATAAGTCAGAGGGAGAAAGTCAAATACCGTATGATCTCGCTCATAAGTAGAAGATAAAAACAACAATAAATAATCACATAGAGACAGAGATTGAATTGGTGGTTATCAAAGGGGAAGGGGGGAGGGGGGAGGGTGAAAGGGGTGATTAGGCACGTGTTTGTGGTGATGGATTGTAATTAGTCTTTAGGTGGTGAACATGATGTAATCCATACAGAATTCAAAACATAATGATGTACACCTGAAATTTATATACTGTTATAAACCAATGTTACTTCAATTAAAAAAAAAAAAAAAGGTAGGTGCCAGCCTGGTAGAATAGTGGTTAAATGCACGTGCTCTGCTTCGGCAGCCTGGGGTTCACAGGTTCGGATCCCAGGTGCACACCGATGCACCGCTTGTCAAGCCATGCTGTGGTGGCATCCCATATAAAGTAGAGGAAGATGGGCACAGATGTTAGCTCAGGGCCAGTCTTCCTCAGCAAAAAGAAGAGGATTGGCATTGGATATTAGCTCAGGGCTGATCTTCCTCACACACACACACAAAAAAAGGTAAACATGACCCTGAAATGAAAATCATACAATGACATTTTAGGAAAAGAAGACGACACCCCAATATCACTCATGATTTAAGGATGCAAAAAAATCCTTAAAAAACACATTGTATCAAATCTAGCAATATATAATAAGGATAACACGCTATGAATAGGTGGGGTTTTCCCCGGGAATATAAGGTTCATTTAACATTAGAAAACCAATCAACGTAATTGACCATTTTAATAAAGGAGAAAAACCATATGATCATCACAATAAATGCAGAAAAACTTAAAAAAAAATTCAATACCTATTCATGATAAAGTCTATTAGCATACTATGAAATAGAAGAGAACTTCCTCAGCCTAATAAAGGAGGTAAAGCAAACCTACACTAACATTACATTTTTATAACTGTTATATTGAAATAATTTTAGGCTTACAGAAGACTTACAAAAATAATACAAACAGTTCCCATATGCCCTTTATACACCTTCCCCTAATGCTAATATCTTACACAGCCACAGTACAATTATCAAAACTAAGAAATTAAGATTGGTACGAAACTACAAACTACCAACTTTATTTATATTTTACCATTTTTTCCACTCATGTCCCTTTTCTGTTCCAGGATCCCATCTAGAATCCCACAGTGCATTTAGTCACCATGCCACCTAGTCCCCTCCAATCTGTGCAAGTCCCACAATCACTCCCTGCCTTTCATGAAGTTGACTCTTTTGAAGCCATCTAGCCAGTTATTTTGAGAAATGCCCTCCATGTGGCTTCTTCAGGTTTTCTCATGATTATATCGAGGTTACGCGTTTCGAGGAAGAATACTACAGAAATGATATATCTTTCTCGGGGTATCTTATCATGGCTGACACAATGTCAGTATGTCTTATTACTGGTGAGGTTCATCTTGATCACTTGGTTCAAGACACTGTCTGCCAGGTTTCTCTACTGTGAATTTATTCTTTTAATTTTTGTACATAATAAATGTTTGGGGAGAGATATGTTGAGACTATGCAAATATCTTCTTTCTTAAACTTTTGCTCACTAATTTTAACATTCATTGGCAGATCTTGCATGCAGCAATTTTTACTCTGGTCTTCTCACGGTGACTTTTCTAGTTCCCTGGTTCCTTCTACATTTATTAATTGGAATTCATCTATAAGAAAGACACATCCCTTCTCAACATTTTATTTACTTGTTCAATAATTAATTTTTGCAGTATGGACACATGCATATGTATTTTATCCTTTGGGTCATAATAAAATACTACATTTATTTGTTACTGAAATTGTTCCAGCTTTCACCATTGGGAATCACTTAAGGTTGGCTCCTGTGTCCTTTTAACATGTCCCTTTCTGTCCTTGTTTTTTACTTTCTGGCACCACAAAATTCCTTGGGCTCATCATTTATTTTCCCCACCCAACTCTGGAATCAACCACTTCTCCAAGTAACTTTGGTTCTTTTTATTGGAGAGTGACAGTTAGAAACCAAGTCTCAGCGCTAGCTGTGATCATTAACATCATATTTAATGGTTAAAGACGTTTTATCCCTAAGATCAGGAACATAGCCAGGACGTCCACTCACTACGTCTCTCCAACACTGTAGTGAGGTCCTGGCCAATATAATGAGGAAAAGGAAGAAACAAAATACGTACAGATTAAAAATGAAGTAAAATTTTTTATTTACAGATAAAAATTTATTTATGATTTTCCATGCAGAGAATCCTGAGTAATCTACAAAAAAAGGCTACTAAAGTGAGTAAGTGAGTTTTGCAAGTTTTCAGGATATAAGGTCAACATACAAAAATCAATCGTATTTCTATATACTGGCAGCAAACAATGTGAAAATGAAATTTTAAAATACCATTGACATCAGAAGACATAAAATACTTAAGGATAAATGTAACACAATACGGGTAAGACCTAAACACTAAAAATTATAAAACGTTACTGTGAGAAATAAAGAAGACCTAAATAAATGGAGAGAGACACTGTGTTCATGGACCCGAAGGCTCAATACTGTTCAAATGACAATTCTCCCCAAATTTATCTATGGATTCAACACAATCTGACACAAAATCCCAGCAGACGTTTTTGTAGAAGTTGGCAAACTGAGTGTAAAACCTATATAGAAATTTATCTAGATAAATTCATATTATAGAACATCCTGCCAGAGAATCTTAAAGCTTGAAGACACTTCAGAGATCATAATTTTATGTGTGAGTAAAATGACCTGTCCAATTCCACACAGGAAGGAAGAAGCAAATCCAGGACGAGGATGTCTACATTTCAGTGCTGTACCCTTTAGAGTGGTACATCATGATACTCATAATTAAGATTAATTCATCTTCCACTTTGCCTAGGGAGAGATCTACTTTTCCAGTAAAGATACAATCATCTCTACATGTGCCTTTATCTCTAGATTTGCCACAATATATAGAAAAATGGCCAATAAGCATGTAATAATAAATCTACAAAAACAGTAAATCTCCCAAAGCATATTAATAAAACTGTAATAAAAATACCTGATCTTAGAAATGAATTAGCCTCTTACAAATAAGTTCCATGTTTTAAAGACATAAAGCCTCCATAAAAATGTTTAATATTATAAATTATTTCATATTTATACTGTCTAAAGCACTAGAATTATAACTGAATTCATTAAAATAGTTACTGGCATCAGCATTCCCATAGTTAATTCCTAGTTTATTAGTGATATGATACAAACCCAAATAAATAGATCCAATCACATTTTCATGGCCTTTTAGAGAGAGCCTCAAAATTTATGGGTGCAGCTATAACGCTGTTCTTCCAGTCTGCAAGGGTGGCTGAAAACACCAGGGCCTTATCTGACATCCAGGATACCCCGAGTAAACGTGTAGCAGGTGTCAGTCCACGATGAATGGAAACTTTGTAATTTTTGTAGTTGGGCTTCTTTATGCAAGATACTTACCACCTTTGGTCAAATTAAGTAGCAACTATTTTTATCAAGTATAACAATTTAAACTCATTTCGCCACATACATCATCTAAAGCCATGTTTTGGCAGCTCCTTCTCCCTGCCCTACTTGCTGGCTCCTCCAATTCCATATGACACAAGGGAGCTGCCTGGGTATCTTAATATTACCTCTACTCTGGGCATGTCTGGTCCAGTGGAGCAGAGACAGAATAAGCCTGGCTTCTTCACTGGTATGCTAACTGGGTTCTCAAAACTTTCTCCAGGTAGCCAAACTACCATTTAACGCTAAAAGCCGAACACTGATGAGGAAATTTTTGTAGCATATCTTTGTCTGCTAACAGGACTGAAGAAAGTCCATGTTTTGCCTCTTCTTTAAGTTGGCAGTGCCACACTGGTGCTCCACAATTCTCAGTTAAAGAAATTTTTTCTTCTTTTGTTTTTCTTGTTTTTGATTGAGTCCTCCTTGGTCAGGGTGTTTCAAAGGGATATTTAGTTGTGGCTTATAGCTTTATGTACCAAAGACAACCTCTGACCATGTCTTATGTCTGGGAGACATAACAAGACCTTGCTCTTTTCCAGATTCTTTTTTAGTGTACTGACATGATAAAAACAGTACATGGCTCATTAGGGGCTATATATGGATGCAACTCATCAGGAACATCATCAGTGTTACAAAGTGGACGTACAATTGTCTACATGAAGTTAATAAACATGGAGGACATTTAAGAATGGTCACACGCTTCTCATAAGGGTTGAGAAGGATCCAACACCTACCCCGTGCTTTATACGTGGTAGAAACTCAAGAGATACGCGTTTAATCGAACTAAAGTCTGAGTAGAGGTGTTTAATACGGTGCAACTATTTTAAATACCTAGTTACGAGAAACGCTTAGACAATCACTACACTCCCCATTACCACAATACAGAAATGAAGTACTTGTCTTACTTCCTTATAACTCATATGTTGTCATTCTATCTTTACTTTAGAAATTAATAGAGAACAATATTTGGCACAAAATAGACACTACATAAATGTTGTTCATTAATATGTATTTTAGAGAAAAATATGGAAAGCTAAAATAGGGTTGAAATGGAAAGACTAACTACACAACATTAACTAGATAAAAATTCTAAGCAAATACTGAATTACATAAAAATTTCATAGTAAAATACAAGCGTTTGAAAATCAAAAAATCAAATTCAGTGTCTGCACTAACAATACCCGAAGTAGTAAAAATAAAATAAACAAAAATGAAAACGATGGAACAGACATTAATTTCCTGTTCCTGAACTTAAGCAAAAATTGCAGTACTAAAAACAAGGAATGAGCAGGTTACAATAAAATAAAGTTATATTAACTAGTAGCGTCTATTTTGTGGGTATTAAAGTTCTGTTGCAAATAAGAGAGAAGTCCCAAATAAGACAAGTTTATTACTTTACTAAATATTAAAACTAAAGTGCTTTAAAATTCCTTTTAAAATAAGGATTTGCATAAATAAATCTGAATATCCACTTTAAAATTAAAGGCATAAAGACAAAAAAATTATGATTTTTTTTTGCTAGTTTTCTTAAAGAATATAACATTGGTGTCTTTACTTTTCTGAATTAAGGAAATAATGAGAAGTAAACTAATGAATTATTGTGATTTTAAAAAAAGAAAAAAAATCAATTGACCATATTGAATAAAATTTCAAGATGAATTTTGGGATTCAAAAATATCAATAAAATTTTGTGCTAAGCAGTTCAATATTCCATTAGATGATAGAGTAAAAATGAAAACTATCATTACATCATAAATTTTATTCACTTTTAAATTTTTTTGCTGTAAATTCATTTTACCCAAAATATATAAACATTATGCCATGAAGATAACCTACCTTTTTATCATATACATCTTGCCAGTTTACTCCAGAAAAGAAACTGTGTCTCATAATTTCTTTTGCATCATCTGGTCCCCCACCAAGGCTATGAGGACAGAAATGACATTAAATGAGTATAAAACATCAACATAAGCCCAATGCATAACAAAAAAGCTTTTGTGAAATGTAATTTTCTGTGAGATAAATAGTCCTTGTGATAAACAGCCATAAAAATAAAAAGCTTTTGCTGTCAGATCTAATTTCCCTAATATGCTGTTAACAAGAATTAGCCTCAGCACAGGATGGTATCTGAAAAGAGCACAGGCTTTGGAGACAAACCTGAAACAGGCAACCAGCTCTGGAACTTATGAGATGAGTGACAATGAACAAGTTGCTTAATCTCAGTGTTTTCATCTGTAGAGTGGGGGGATAGTAACACCAGCCTGGTGGATTATCGCAAGGGTTAGAAATAACATAGGTAAGCACCCAGCACAATAAATGGTAGCTATTGTCATGGTCAATACTATAAACCAAATTTATTTTAGAATGACTCAAGTCAAAATGCACCCTGTTGACATAAATTCTGAAAAGGCTAAATAATTGGTTAGAAAAAACAATTGATAAAGCATTGCTAATAGATAGAAACTCATGGACTATTTTCTTATCTCAAATGACTTTCCACAGAAATGATATTGTTAATCTATGAAATATCATTACAATGTAATTTGCTATGCAATTTTCAACACAGATTAAAAATGTAAAAATACTCCCCCCATCTTGGAAGTTACTCCTATTTAACTGATATCTGAAACACAGTAGGAAATTCAGGTGTTTTCTGGCTCCCACAGTTTCACAGAGTGGATACTAGTCACCACGAAGAAAGAATGAGAGAAGCAGAAAAAACAGAGAGGGAAGAAAGGAGGGAGGGAAGAGAGGGAAAGGAGAGGAAAACAAGAAAGAACAGGGAAAGAATGAGGAAAAGAAAGAAAAAGAAATCTATGTAAGTCTGAATTGGATATAGCAAGCATTCCTTGGTCTTGTTCATGGTTAGGAATGCCGTGTGCTGGTAAACGCTTAATAATCAGCTCTGTGGGGGAAACATGCATACGTAAAATGCATATTATATACATAAGTTTATTATGAATTTTACTGATATCAAGGATGTGAAGCACAATATTTACAGAGAATAATAAAATATACAATGTTCTTTATTGTAAATTAACCAATTGATTCTCACAGAAAACTTTTGTTAATTTTTGCTGAACTCCAAAGCCACCAGCTGACTTATGAGTAGTTCTGACATGAATACTGGCTGGTATTTTTGTTTATGGTCAAGACTAAGATGAAATGATACAACACAGAAATACGTCAGAACTTTAGTTGTTTGTCAGTTATGTGAGCGACTTCTTTGCTGAATGGTTAATAGTTTTGGAATGGTGGAAGAATATTTCCTCATTTTTTGTGTTATTCACAATGTAATAGATACAGATTCAACAAACTTTAAAATTTAATCTGTACGTTAACATTTTCTCTATCACTTTCTTAAGTCTTAACAATCAACAAAACAATAAACCAAGCCCTGACTTACAGTGTTTGCCAATTTTGGTGTAAATACTCCCACCATGGCCTATTTCAAGTTATCAACCTGATACCCCTCAACATAGAAATGGGAGAGATGTGCAGAAGAAACCATTATATAGTATTTCTATACAGAACAACAGACATAGGTAACCTCAAAAGCACAGAGAATAGTAAAATGTAACAACTATTAAGGAGTGATGAGCTTTGAGTATTTATTACCTTTGATTTTAATATTCTTGATTTAATTTGTAAATTTATATAATTTAACTTTTAATAATGATGGTATTAAACAATCAGCTCACAAAATTCTTGAAATTTAACAATTAGTTCTTATGAGCTGGTACATTGCCAACTCCAACACACCACTGGGTAGGAAAAAAAACAAATAGGTCATAGAAAACAAACAATTATACAATTCTAATGAATTCTGGTTATTATTAGGTACAAGAAATACATAAGTGGAAAAATCCAGGATCCTCTGACACATTGTCAGAATGGAAAATAGAACAATTAGCTAATATCTGAATATCCGTAGTGATGATCAGTGGCTCCCACAGTCTAGGTCTCCTGTCTCCAGATCTGTATACTAGAATGAACCACACCCCTGATACACAACTTTTAGATTAGATCAGATCATAAAAGCTGTGTTCACATTTGGAACTTTCAGACTGGCAACTCTATATTTAGTTAACACTCAGCACTCTACTCCTTGGCGTAACTATTTTTCATTCTATTTCAAGTCGTGTATGTCTTCCCCTCTCCCCCTCAAATGCAAATTCTTTTGAGGGCAGAGATCAGTACTGGATTATCCAAAGAGCATTTTGAGCTTGTGTTCAGGGAGCCAGAAAAGCAGAAACACCAAAACACATGTTTCTGAAAAGAATTTAACATTTCAAAGTATGCATCAAAGTAGTCTCCATGAGAGAAATCAGAAGTTCATTGTATTTTTTTATACTTATGTTACTGTTGATTTCAATACTGTTTTCCTTTTGAATTATATGTGAGCTGGTGGGTGAGGTAGGAGTTGGAGTGGAGAACCACAACCATTTTGCAAATAAAAGGTTTTAATCCAGCTTCAGTTATTCATCTTGGTGTCACTCCTCAGTTCTCTAGCAATAGTTTGGCTTTGGACATAGCCAGAATTTAATCCATATTTATCAAATACATATAAAACTAAAGTATCGGCCATGAATACTATGCAAAGTCTAAGAATATAATCTTAGATTGCCATTTCAGAAGCTGGGAGAGAGTCTTTAACACAAGCTTCCTCAAAGTGTGAAACTGTCAAAAATTTCAATGTCAATAACTCCCTAATGTACAATTTAAGACTTCAAAGTAATATCAAAATATGATTTGCACTAAGATATTTATGTCTAAGAATACTAAACTCCAATATCAGAATGCCAAACCAAAATCTCAGCTACTATGGATTCTTCACTATTAGGAACATCACGGAATTCATATTTTCCTAGTGTTATTGAATGCAACATGAGGTCATGCTTTTCCTATAAACTCTGCATAGAAGGATAAAGGAGATATTGATAGAATGATCATAAAGTAATAGAGAAGAAGAAATAAAAGCAAAACGATAGTTCGCCCTTTGATAGAAGGCAGCAATTCAGTAAAGAGTATCAGAAAAATTCAGGCAGTGTTTAAAATAGTTGAACAGGAATAATGAAGACGTTTACTACAATGCTATCTTTGATTATATTTCCAAAGACTTTTCAGGGTCCTTTGTGGGCTCTTTCTCTTCCTCCTACCTTTTAAATATTGAGCCAATACCAACAAGCCTCCTCCTTTGCCTGTACTCTCTGTCTGTTAGTAAGACTGCATTCTCCAAATCAGTCCCCCAAGCTGGAGACCTCAGAGGCACCCAACTCCTTCCACTTCCTCATCATCTCTATTTTATCATTCATAACGTTCTCTTTATCATTCTTCATCACTGCTTCAGGAAGAACTCCATCTCTTATCTGGACAATTCCATATGCATTCTTAACTGCTCTGCCTACTTGTCCCTTCGCTGCTCTAATTCATCCATGACAAAGCTGCCAGAGTTACCTTTTTGTAACACAAATCTGATTATACCATCCCTTACTTTTAATAATTCAGCGGCTTCTCATCCCCTTCTGAATAAAGATTAAATATTTTCTAAGAAAAAGAAACATAAGGTCCTTACAATCTAACATATCGGCTTCATCTCCCAATGTTACCCAACTCATATCCTACACTCTAGTCACTGAACTTCTCAAATGCCATGTTCATTTGCAATTCTAGCTGTTCTTTACATATAAATTTCTCTGCATGAGCGCCACAGCTCCTTCACGAGCCTGCTCAAGTCTCCCAATCCCCTAGACAGAGCTAATAATTTCAATAGCAATTTGTATGTAGTTTAACCTGAGCATCTGTGAAAGTACGTTTTCTGCCCTACATTATTCTACGAACACCTAGAGCAGAGATTATTCATCTTGTTCATCCTTGCATTCTCAATATTTTAATGCAGCAGTGGAGGGGCTTGACACATCTACTATAAAAGGAAATAGTAGATAAGTGAAAATACCACATCTTCTCTTTAGACAACACCAACTCCCAGGTGGACAAACCTTTAGGAGTTGTTCTACATACCAGGCCACTAACATTCTAGAAACTTACCTCACATTTATTCAACAATTATTAAGTACCTCCTTTGTGCTATCCAAGGGGGTAGGGGGGGTGGATGACAATAAAAGAATGAATGAGACACAGACACGAAAACTACAGGCACAATTTTGTTCTACTAGCCCCTTACAGAGGGGCCGCAAAGGAAGAGGTTGTCAAAGTTACCTAGAGGAGGTACGAAAGGATGGGATAAAAATTCACTGCCCTTGAAACCCATGCCAAATATGAGATCTCATAATCAAGTAGATAAAATGGAAATCCTAGTTCTGTTGAAAGATTACCTGTCATCAAGTGCACTTGTTACATTAATTGTGAAATAATCACATTAAATGGAACACATTTCAGAGCCTGAACCAACTGAGAAGTTGATGCATTATATATAAGATATATAAGAAATATCCAATACACACCAAGAAACTTGATTTCTACTCTTGTTCTACACAAAGTTTCTGTGAGACCAGGATAAATCACTTAACCCTCTCTGGGCCTCTATTTTCTCCTCAATCAAATGGAAATGAGAATAATATTTCCCTATCAACTCTACAAGGCACTGAAAAAGCAAAGGAGAGAACAGATGTGCAAATGCCCCGAAAAAGAAAACAAAATGACTTTACAAACATGGGTAAGATCTCAGTTATAGGATTAGGAAACCATTTTTGAATGGTTCCTCACAAAGGGAAAAAAAAAAGTTTGCTTATTGCTAAAGGGAAAATCACGTTCCTCCTAAATTGAAAAGCTAGCAGCAAGTAATGAAAACCATCTCTAAGGAGACAAAGCCCACATTTTAGGGTTCATTTATTCCTTCACCCATTAATTCAGTCTGTCAATAAATACATACTGAGCATCAACCATAAATAGAACATTGTAAAAAAACATTACGTGAGGTGTTATGGAAGATTCAACAATATAGGAAATGGTCAATCCTCAAGATACTTAAGACCTAAGAGATTTTCAGAGAAATACTGACATGCATATCTATATCTAGATGGAAGGATGGCTATATACATACATATATATATACATACATACACAGACATATATTAAGGGACATTTTAAAATGAACAGTCATTTCATATATGACATAAAATGTATGTGTAATGATTATACAAACACAACACTGTGGCTGATTAAGCAAAGGGCTGTAGGATTCTTCAGGTCATGGTTGTAGCTACAAAAATAGAAACACAAAGTGTGTAAAGATTTTTTTTGCTGGTAATCCTTTCAGCCATACATGGAAAAGAATATCTTCAAATGACAAACAAAAATTAGTTAGATCTGTTAACATAGGTTGGGGTGGGAGGAGATATAGAGACAGTTCTGTTCTTTTTATAATGTAAATCAGCAGAAATATAAAGGCCTACAGACTGAAAGGGAAAAAAGGGATCCTCCAATCCCCACAATAGCAAGCACCAGGGCAATTAAGAAATTGTTCGCTCATAATACGGATAATAAAACTCTCAAAATCCTTATTTGGTAAAATCTGCATAAAATTTCCAAGTTAGGAAAGAGTTGAGGAAATTTTAAAAACGTTCTATATTATGCAGTTAAAAATAAGTCAGTATCTCAGTGGGAAGATGTCTACACCAAATACATTGCTTCTTGGAGTTAGTTATATTTGAATTAATTTCCATATCACAATTTCTAACCACATTCAGCAGTAACGCACTGAGTGTTATTTGTGGCTTACCGTTTATTTGGATCCTTTATCAAGAGCCCTGAAAGCAATGATTTTGCATCTGAAGAGAGTGTTCGAGGAAATTTAATGTCTTCCATTAGTATTAGTTCAAAAAGTTTCTCATGATCCTGGTTGTAGAAAGGTAACCTCCCACACATCATTTCATACATGACAACCCCTAGGCCCCACCAGTCCACGGCTCGGCCATAGTCATTATCTTCTAACACCTAAAAGTGAAACCAGTGATTAATTATTACACATTAACTTTTAAAGCATTATTTATAAAACATAAGAATTTTACATAAAAATGAATCCTAAGTGTCAAAGCCTAGGTAGGCTATTCTGAGATCTTCACACCAAATATGTAGAGTGTTCAATACATATCCAGAAATGGTCAGTATACAAAAAAGGGGATAGGTCACACAACAAATTCCAAAGAAATGAGTATACAAGTGTGCTAAGCATCAAGTGAAAACTGTTAGCGTATTTTCTCTTAGGCCTACTTAATTTTTCATTCTGGTTCCACTAGCGTGGACTTTAACTAACAACCTAGGGCTGAGCCATGCTGATTACAGAGCATGTAACGTGCCTTACACCCTCTTGCATTAAGAATGAAGTGACACGAGCCAGACAGCACCAGACAGGAGTAGACAGAGGCTGTATAACAGAGGAGAAGACAGGGCGTGACAACCACAAACACAAATGTGAAAACTTCTGGAGGCCCCCACACATGCACACTCTTTCAGGAAATATCGAATCAACAAAGTGAACAGAGAGTTTTATTGTTTGGGTTGTGATCAAGTTTAGTATCCAAAACTTTAGTATCTCACAACAAAAACTTCTGTTAAGCACAAACAACAAAAACTATGGACTCAATATCTATGTGGGATGTGCCCTTAAATTTGTTTCCCAAAATATATTACATGCAAAATAAATTAAGTAAGAAATGATATGAAAGTATCAGTTAGGTTATGTTAGAGCACCCTGTTCAAATTGGAACATGGTAACTTGCCACTTGTCCCAGGAAAAATTTGATTTTTCCTTTCTACTAGATACGTTCCTCATCTAATGGAATTTTCTTCACCTATTTGGAACTTGCAATATTTTATTTTAAGTTACTGTATTTGAATAATCTTAAAGCTTACTTTATCTAATCCTCTTAGACTTGGGAAAAACAGATCAAAAAAACCATACGCATGAAATTTATCAATTAAAAAAAACCTCATAACTGATTACACAAGAGAATTTGTTACACAACAAAGTAGTACCCATATCCCAAACTTTCTTAGTTTGAATTAAGTAAACACGTTGTTGAAGATTACTCCTATGTGACTTTTATTCAAAATTTACCAATAATTTCATAGAACTGCACATGATATTTTTGACGGTTACATTACGATTACCCATAAATACTATGAAAGGCACTTTGGTAAACAAGGTATTTAAAGATGGAGAATATAATCTCAAGAAAAAACTGTGTTACTTAACGATTTATTCAGTAGTGGTTTTCAAATGGTATGAAAAGATTTTTAATTCAATTGTATCACTGCTTGTTTGTGGCTGAAGAAGACTGGGAACTGCATTGGCAAGTTAGGAACACAAGTCCGGTTCCCACGTTTTTCCGAAAATCTTTTGTAAACCACAAACTAAGCAAAATATTTTTGGGAAAAACAACAAATTCTCGTTCCTATATTTAGCCGAAAATATTTCAAATTTCTACTTGTTTGAAATGAGTAATGTGAGAACACACAGAAAACAAGAAACAACCTAAGGAGCAGGAGGAGTTCCACTTGATAAAGGAAATGCTAGATACATAATTTTTAAACAGCAGTGACTTTTGATTCTTCAAGAATCTCTCTCACGTCCAATTAGTACTGTTTGAGAGCCTTTATCTAACAGATCCAGGATTTTGCCTAATAATAACAAATTTTAAAATCTAAGTAATCTTTTATGCATTCCTACAACACCAACAAAACAGTGGCACACAGGAAAAAGAGCCAAATGTGGTTTTTAACCTCTTTTTTCATAAAACCATAAAAAGCATAAAAGCTGGATTAACTGCCTCCCGAACCCACATTTCACCAGCCGGGTTCTCATCCCCAGCTGGCAAAACTGGCAATCCTTTATTTTTGTTTAAATACCTGGTTTGCAGCCAGAAGGGAAAGTGAGTACATAAAAAAGGGTTTTATTTTTGAAGAGAAATAAGCAACTGAAAAATAAAACTGCATTGTAAAAAAATCTGTTCGATAAAATATATTTTATTTAGCTTTGTAAAATGAACACTGATTTGCTTCTGAACATCCATGCTTTAATTGATATATAGATACATAATGCTACAATTAGAACTATCTGCTGTATCATTTTGTACTGAACAAATCTGACGTGAGGTGCTGCCCTACTGACATGTAAACCTCAGCAACGTGGAGGAGAAAATACCCTAACAACTCAGCCAGCCCTCTTACCTAAGAGTCTTTGCTATCAATTAAAAAGAAAGGTTTCTGTTCAATTTCTACCTCCAAACAGCTGGAAGATGAAATATACAAGAAATAAAAATAAAAGTGACTCTAATATTCTACATGTGGATACATAATATAAAACATTACCCTGTTCCTTTCTCTTGCCTTAAATTTAAATTATTTCAAAACACAATACTGTGAAATACTCTAGAAATTCCAGAGTGAAATTAAAATCCACAGCCTCTTTTATATGATTTTTGGAAGGTAATTTTTCTCCCTTACTCAAAGCACTTCTTCTTCCAAAATTACAGTAACATCTAAAATTTACATTCTTTAACCTAAGAGTTACAATTCCTTCTAGATACCGCTGATGTTTTTTTCCCTAGCAAAACGGCTAATTTACTTCATGGTCATCGTGAGGGCTGCTCCAGAGGGTGTGAGACATGGTAATGCAGAGCCACAACAACAGGAAAGGGCATTTCAGCTCCATTACAGTGAAACATCGGATAATTTGGACATAAATGCAGATGAAAACCTGCCCGAGAGAAACAATCCAGTGAAGTCTTATCTTGAAAAATTAATCTAAAGAAAGTGCCTCTCTCCCATAACATCAATGTTGCTGACGTTTACACTGCACTCCAGGTTTAGCTACGAATGCAGATACTGGTATTTCCTTCTATTCCTACAGTGTCTGTAACCACAGAAGTAGCTTTACTTTATAACTACATTCCAATGCCCAGAGACAAAGGCAAGCGGGCATTTGGAGCACTGAAAGAAATACAAATGTTAAAAAATGAGAGGTGACATCAAATCCAACACCCAAACAGAGCACAAACTCTAGGAAAACAGGCTTAGTTTCAGTTTTTCCACCAGGGGCCAGAGATTGTTTCACTTTCTGATACAATAAAAACTAAGATTCAAGGGAGTCACAGCAGGTGCCAATTACTATTAATATGCTGGTAATATCTTATCAATATCTAGTAATATTTGATGTAGATACTTCCATTTATAAAACAGCCAGGTGAGTTAAAATAAAGTCACCACGAACAGCTCTTGAAAAGTTACTAATTTCAAAGAATGATATTAAATAATAAACTACGTATTTTAAAATGATACCATCAATTAAAGTTCCTAATGTAAATATTTATTTGGCTAATGGGCACTTTCAAAAAACATGTTCATTCCAATATTCTTTTACCAATTAGGATTACTGGGAGGTTGAAGGAACACCTCTCTGAGCCTGTTCGCCAGGCCACACAATGCACCCAAGGCAGGCAATTACAAGGAGCCTATGATGCCCTGGAGGGGCTTCCTGCTCAATCAATAATGCTGACAGAACAGATGGGGGAAAAAATTAAACATCTAAACAAACTGTCTGCACACCTATGTTGTGAAAGTAAACTGCGAACTTGGATGAACCAATTTACCGCTAAGGCAGAAAAATTTTTTTTCTGGTAACCTTATATTTCAGGTATCTGATATGTGTGTGTTTTATATACAAACACACATTTATATCCATTTTATCATTTATGGAAATCCTTTACATGTTCTTAACATCACATGAATTTGCAAAAAAAAAAAAAAAAACCCTGATAAATCTAATCAGATTCTAAAATGTATTGCAGCTTCAGGAGAAGTATATATTCCATAAGAATTATGAATTCCACGATTTTGAGGAAAAGAGGTATTTTCCTCTTAAGTATATTTTTTATGCCCAGTTCTCAGCTGCTCTAATGATTCGTAAGGACTGACACTGTCCCTGGCATTGCTGTGAAGGAGGATGCCGTAAGCTCCGTGGCCACTGCATAGCCTCGTACATATGCGCGCACATGGCCAACAGCGCACTCTCACAAGCAATCTCTGGTAGAACAGGCAACACTCTTGAGCAAGAGAAAAGCTAAATGGACACAATGCTGGTGATTAAATCATAATTTCCCATATCTGCCAGATGTCTATACTTCCTTTTATCCTGAAGCAGCAGACAATATTGCATTCCAAGAAACTGGGTCTTTATAACCCAAGTAAAAACAGTCGTTGTAAACTACTAAAGGTAATCACTAGTGTGCCCAGCTAGGATTAGTTTTATATACATTCTTTTGCTTCAGAGAATTTAAAATTAAACTTTGTGCTGAAACTAGAATCACTCCAAAGTACTGAATGCAAATATTCTAACTGTCAAAGCCAAAAGCCCCTATAACACTGAAAAGAACTTTAGGTGAAAAATAACTACCACAGGAACTGACAGGCCTCTAGGGAAGTAAAAGCCGCTACTTGCAAACACGGAGAGAGATTGACATTGAACTAAAAAATACCATTTTAGTTCATATTTAAACAATATCCAACTTGGGGACAAAATGGGATGGTTTTTAATGTTATCTAGGAACAGTATAAGTAGTAAGCCACCTCATATGACAGTTAGAAGTCCTTAAATATAAATTCTAACTATAAAGCAGACAACTGCTATCTGAACTAATCAGTGCTCCTTCACTTAATTTTCCCCTCAATGTTGGTGATGAGAACATTTCAGAACCAACAGAAAGATGAAGGTTTTCAAAAATCTCTTAAGAGGACAGGTGTTACACGAATTATTAATAATTAAATAAAATATCAGGGATGGACAGTTTTAGAAACGTGACTAAAACAACTTTTTATTTTTACAAAAAGCTTAGAAGTTTTAAGACAGTTTCACAATCTGTTAGAAACAGAATTTTGTCCAAGGGCTAAGCAAAATGTAACTACGTGTGCTACTATTTTTACCTACAGACTAAATG